CTTGCACTGCTTTAATGTCAACAAAACATTCAGAAATAGCTTAATCTTACATTAAAAAAAAAGAAAAGATAAATCAGTAGATACCTTTTACATGAACATTTATTGATTGATCTCAACCATACCTTTGCTCTTGTGTGTTAATAATTATACAGAGTGCTACAGTATACGATTGTGGGACACTGAGTGATCTCGCTATCGCTGGCAACCATGAGACTCGTAGTCGGTTTTCTTTCTCTGCTCACTGTGTTCGGCCCTGCAGAATGTGGGAATGTTTTAGTCTGGTTTACTGAGGGCAGTCACTGGATCAATCTGAAGATTGTGTTGGAAACGTTGATTGACAGGGGACACAGTGTCACTGTGCTGGTGCCAGATGCCTCTCTCTTCATGCATGCCAAAGAATCAGATCGCTTCTCCTACCAGCCATTCAATGTGTCTATATCTGCACGGGACATAGAGGACTCCTTTGAGGATTTTTTACATTTCTCAATGTATGAGATGGAACAGTTAAACTTACTGCAAATTTATATCAAGTTCTACCAGCTTTTCTCCAAAGATCTAGATTTGTGTTTTACATACTGTGATGGTACTCTGAAGTCTCCAGCGTTGATCGGCAAACTGCAGCGTGGGAAGTTTGACGTCATGCTGTCGGATCCGATCTATCCATGCAGCGAGGCTTTAGCTGAAAAGCTGAACATTCCCTTAGTTTACACATTACGGTTCTCTATCGCCAACACTTTAGAGCGCATGTGTGGTCAGATACCAGCTCCACCATCATTTGTTCCTGGAACAATGAGTAAACTCACGGACAAGATGAGCTTTACAGAGCGAATCAAAAATATGCTCTTCTACCTTTCTCAAGATGCTTTGGCCATTAGTCTGTGGAAAAAAATCGACAACTATTACACTGAATATTTTGGTGAGTTAAATACTCTGGGGAGGGGAGGGAGGGCATGAGGGGATTTACACCTAGAAGCCATAATTTTGTTGTTTAAAATAATCATTCATTCCAGGACGGCCCACTTCCTATTGTGAGATGATGGGTAAAGCTG